ACAGTTCCACTACCACCTCCATTAAAAATAATCTGTCAATGATGACTAGAATATTTACAGTTCAACTACCACCTCCATTAAAAATAATCTGTCAATGATGACTAGAATATTTACAGTTCCACTACCACCTCCATTAAAAATAATCTGTCAATGATGACTAGAATATTTACAGTTCCACTACCACCTCCATTAAAAATATCTGTCAATGATGACGAGAATATTTACAGTTCCACTACCACCTCCATTAAAAATAATCTGTCAATGATGACTAGAATATTTACAGTTCCACTACCACCTCCATTAAAAATAATCTGTCAATGATGTACCCATTTTGAGGTATTTGTTTTTAAATATCTTGGTATGGACTAATACTTATATAGTGAGTTAACTGACAAAGAAGACTTGTACTTGGGCAATTTTTATGCATTTTATATTCCATTTTTATCATATAAGCACCACAAGGTCTAAAATGCTTTAAAGAAAAATAATTCACAAAAACAAAACACTATCTGAACTAATTCAACATTCAGTATCTAAATTTCCCTTCCTACTAATTCATTTGGTGGTGAACTCTAGCCACTATACAATAAACATATAGAAATAGCACCTTCCAACTGCCTCATTAGGTTACTTTCATTTACATGGTAAACAAAATAGTGTGCACTACAGTATAAACACCACTGTGGTTATAAATCCACTTTATTATATTTTATTGGCCAGCTCTTTAATTAAGAGCATTTTTGCCAAAAAAATCAAAGAAAGTTCAATTTTATCTTATCTCTTATCCATTTCCATGGTAACCTCTACCAATTATTATCTATTAACATTTTGATTACCACATCCTTATACTGAGTGAACGTAGTGTAACTTTCATCATATTTTGTTCCAAAAATAAAACTACTAGATGAAATTGCTTGAAACTTGACAGGAACTTTCCTAAAAGCATGTAGTTTCAGAAAAATAAGATATTTAATTTAAATTTGTTTCTACGAAATATTTGTTACTTAGTGTAGTTATTTGCTCTTAGGCTCTGGATAATTCAAGTACAAGTTATTTTTTTTATCTTAACATTTTCAAATTTCATTTGCATAACCTTTAGAACTACCTAAATGAATATCAAAGTTTTAAGATAGATGTTTACATTTTATTTTTCATTTCATAAATTGTAGCTATTATAATCAGTATAAAGTGCAATGAAATATTTAAGATTAAGAAATCAAAAAATGTACATATGTCTTAACTCTTGTTCAAATAGTCTTAAAATATCTTTTTTTTGGTTATATTTGTAATTTCAGGTCTTTACCTTTTAATTTATAGTTTATTTTTAATGTTTTATTTTCCATTCTTGTTTATTGTTAATCTCAACATACATCAATGGGTATCCTCAAGGCATGTTATGGTATCTTTGGCAGAGATATGCAAGCCTTCATCAGAATGTTTTTGAACTCACATAGTAAGCTAACCCTCATGAACTGAGGCAAAAGTTGTTATAGTAAAAAAAAATAAGTAATACATGATTAACTAAAATATAAAAGTAAAACCTAAGTACAATTTAACTGGCTGTCTAACTAATATGTATCTAGGTGAGAAACAACATTAAGTGCCAGCGAGAACAAAATCAGCAAACAATGCTTTCTCTTTTTTGACATACTTGGTAAGGAATACTGTGCACCAATTTTAAAATAGTAACTGGGAGATTTTAATTTAAAACTAGTTCTTTCTATTGGTTATAAACATGTATGTCAAGTAAGTACATGTGGCTTGAAAGTCTAACAAATCGAAGTATAAAAGGTGGGTGTGTCAGTAAAACCTCCTGATATGCACAAAAAGGAGTTGAAAGAGTACACAGTCAAGAGTTAATTGTAGCCAATTACTCATTAATCATTAATTACCCCTAGTAATTATTAGAATACATTTATAACATTAAACTCATAGCATGGGCAAAAATATGAGGCTTCTGCACCTATCACAAAAATACATTTCCAAATGTAAAAACACTGAAAGAAATAAACAGATGATCATGTAGAATTACACATAACACTAAATAATTCATGTTTAATCTTCTTAGAATTAATTATCAGTGCTAACTGTCATCTAATTCTGAAATGATAGTAAACCAGAAGGAAGCAGCTAGTCAACACTACCCACTGCCAACTATTGTTAGAGTGAATAGTGGGATTTGACCATCACTCTATAACACAAATACATAGCTCCAACATGTAGTTTTTTTTCCAGTAATGAGACATAAACCATGGAACCTTAGCTCCACAGCCTGGCATGCTAACCACTGGCCCAAACCTGGCCATCAGTGTTGTAAAATTACATTAGAATTAGATAAAAAAGGGTGCAATATGCATGGTGTGGCAATACCAAGATGAGGTTGATGCTTTAAATGTATAATTGGAAGAGTGAAATAGCAGTATGTATATTTCATGAAAATATATAAATAAAATCAAGTTTAAACTTTTTTTAAAGTATGACTAATTATTAAAATATAAAGTTAATGGTAAAATAGATGAACCCCCTTCAACTTATCCACACAAATGTTAAAAAATATATTGAAAAAAAATAAACTGCATAAAAACTTGTAGAAATGGATAGATTGTTTTATTTTTTGTGGATGAATATTGGTAATTTAGCCTGATACACTATTCAGATACATAATTTTATGGTGTACTAAATTTACAATTTTCAAAATATTCAGGTAATATTAGAAAATGTAATAAACTAAGCTTTATAGTTAGAAATTATTATAATTATGATGCATATATATACACAAACACACACCATGTTATTCAGGTGGTAAATGTAGTGTTCTAACTTAATGCTTGTTTGTTATGGATTTCGCACAAAGCTACACAAGGGCTATCTGCACTAGCCGTCCCTAATTTAGCAGTGTAAGACTAGAGGGAAGGCAGCTAGTCATCACCACCCACCGCCAACTCTTGAGCTACTATTTTACCAATGAATAGTGGGATTGACCATCACATTATAATGCCCTCATGGCTGAAAGTGTGAGCATGTTTGGCGTGACAGGGATTCGAACCCACGACCCACAGATTGTGAGTCTAGCGTCCTAACTACCTGGCCATGCCGGGCCGGTTCTAACTTAACATCAAATCAAAAACCTCTGAAGAAGAAAAAATTTAATCCAACTTACTATTTGTTCCAAAAGTGGTGAACACTGATTTCTGGTTCATATGATTAGTACCACCCAATATATTTTCTGCAAAGGGGTTCCCGCTAAGACAGAGAAGATCATCACTGGCTTTGATGGCACCATCTGTTGTAACTCCTTTTGTATCAGAAACGTCTGAAGACAAAAAATCAACAGTTCCTTGATCCTTGGAACTTGCTGAAGTCTTAGCTTGTGAAGCTTGTTCACTGTACTGGATGTTTGTTTTACTGAAAATGTTGTCTGGGGAGCCACTACTTCCACTTCCTTGTTTTTCAAGTTCATGCATCCTACGCTCCTGTGTTTATAAATAAAAAGCACTAATAACTTAACATTTAACAAATCTTTTAAAATTCATAATAAAATCATTTAACATAAAAGTTTCAAGCACATGAAAAATTTAATTTCACTAAATGCAACTCATACTTAGAAATATTAGAATATATCATTAGAATCATGTTCAAGAATTAACAGATGTGGTTCACTCAATACAAGATACATGAATATAAATGCTACAGAATCAGAAAAATACAATCAAACAACGGTTATTAAAACAGACAATAAGTAAAACAGATTTATTCAGCATGTTGTACACAACAGTATCACATTTTCTACTTTGCTAATTAATATGTAAATTTTCCAAAATTTCTGTATTATCTTTCTGTTAAGTTGGGATATGGAGAGTCATTCAAGAAAACACATTAAACTTTGCTTTTTGTTAGCTTTATTCAGGACCTTTTACATTAATTGACAATTAAGTGAGTTTGTTTCAGGGAAGACAGCAGGTGATATCTACGAAAAGAAAGCTATCTTTTCTGCCAGCAAATTGAGTAATGTTCTGAGGTTTCTTCTACCCCAGTACTCAAGCAAGAGTAGATGGCAGACACATGCAGACTAGGGTTTCATGTGCAAACCTATCTTGTTATTGTATGTTTTGTATTAAAAACCAGGTTCTCCTAGTTTAGCAAATTTTTGCTGAACCTATGAACTTAGACTTCAGCTAAAACTTTACTTTTGATGTTGAACATATAATAGAACTGACTTAAAATACCAAAAAGATTTTTCACTTAATGTTTCTGACTTGGTATCCTTCAAACCTCCAGTTAACAGACCCTAAAAAAGACTACTCTGAGAGACACTCACAAGCCAGAAAATACCACAAGTGTATTCAAGGATTGTGTATGTGAATAAAGTATTGATGAAGCTTATTACTGGACATGACAGCATCATAGTAAAAAACTTTTTGACTTCACAGACCTACTTGTGATGTCATTTTGACTGTCTCAACAAAGAGTATTGATTCTGAATTTGTGCTCAGTTCTACTTCTGAGGAACAACCATCATTTAAAACACAATATGCTAAAATAGTAACAATGAACAACCATCATTTAAAACACAATGTGCTCAAACAGTAACAATGAACAACCATCATTTAAAACACAATATGCTAAAACAGTAACAATGAACAACCATCATTTAAAACACAATATGCTAAAACAGAAACAATGAACAACCATCATTTAAAACACAATATGCTAAAACAGTAACAATGAACAAACCTTATCAATATCAGAATTACCCATTTGTATTTTTCTGGCATTAAGATACAAGACCTCTTATTTCTTTTTATCTATACTCCACAACTATTATTACAAAAAGCTGTTCAAAACTTGGTTCTGATACCAATTAATTAAAATATTAAGATTTGCACACTGATCTACATAAAAATATAGTTTTATGAAGTTAAAACTTACATCCATGCCTGCTGGGCAGATGCTACTGTCAAGTCATCAATCTCCAAATGCCACTAACTACAGTTTTCATTTCATTGATTTTGATAAACTATAAACTGAATGTGCTGCTGCCAAATGAAGACAAAAACTGGATGGGTTACTGCCAAATGAAGACAAAAACTGGAGGGGTTACTGCCAAATGAAGACAAAATCTGGAGGGGTTACTGCCAAATGAAGACAAAAACTGGAGGGGTTACTGCCAAATGAAGACAAAATCTGGATGGGTTACTGCCAAATGAAGACAAAAACTGGATGGGCTACTTCCAAATGAAAACAGAAATTGGATGGGCTACTGCCAAATGAAAACAGAAATTGGATGGGCTACTGCCAAATGAAGACAAAAACTGGAGGGGTTACTGCCAAATGAAGACAAAAACTGGAGGGGTTACTGCCAAATGAAGACAAAAACTGGATGGGCTACTTCCA